CGTTTAGTCGAGTAATAATTAAAAGGTAAGTTAGTGGAATATTAATTAAAATCTGTTAGGATTAATTTTAAATGTATTAAATGTTATATAGTTAGAGAAATTTAAGGTAAGACCAAAAAATAAGTAATTAAATGAAAGGGTCCAAACAACTTGTATAGGTAGATTTTTTAAGACTCCTTCTCTTTTAATAGTATTGATTTAACCCCCTCATAAATTGATATTTATTTTCAGTTTCATTATACAAGAAAGCCTGAAAGACGCCACTCCACCGCCCAAGTATCCCCCTATAAAAGACACTCTCTTCTCCCTCCTTCCCTCATTTCTCTCGTCTCTCAATCTCATCGAAGCCATGGCAGACGGACATTCCTTCAATAACATCTCTCTTAGCGGTCGCGGCGGAACGGTACGTTCTCCTCTCCCTCACTCTTAATACGTCGTCGGTTTTGTTTTCTGAGGAATTTTCCATTTCATTTCGCACATTTCCGCTTGCTCCGAAACCCTAATTTCTTATCATTGTAGCCGCCGCCGCCGCCGCCGCTCGATTATTGTTTGGTTTCACATCTTGTCGCCGTTCTTGCATCCTATGATTGATGGAAACATTTCTAATCGACGTTTTAGTGATGCTCCATGAAGAAATTAGGGTTTAATGTTGTTTAATTTGTGTTTTTTATTTTGCGATTTTGGTTTAACTGTAGAACCCAGGCCTCCTAAAAATAAGCTCAGGAGGGGTTCAATGGAAGAAGCAAGGCGGTGGAAAAGCTGTGGAAGTCGATGAGTCTGACATCGTTGGCCTCAGTTGGATGAAAGTTCCGAGAACAAACCAGCTTGGTGTCAAAACCAAAGATGGTTTATACTATAAGTTCATTGGCTTTCGTGATCAGGTTTTTTGCGCATAGCTTTTACGATTTTAATCAATATAGATTGAAACTTATTGTAATCATGATTTGTTTGGTGTATTATAGGATGTTGCAAGTCTGACCAGCTTTTTCCAAAGTGCTTTTGGGAAAACACCTGAGGAGAAACAGTTATCTGTTAGTGGTCGTAATTGGGGAGAGGTGGATTTGAATGGTGTGTGTTCTCTCGTCCTATTTATAATTTGGTTTTTGAGTGTTTTTTTTTTTTTTTAAGTGGAAAATTTATCTTTAGCTTTCTCCGTTTGTTTGTGCAGGGAATAATCTAACGTTTTTGGTTGGTGGGAAGCAAGCTTTTGAAGTGTCTCTGGCTGATGTTTCACAGACTCAGCTTCAAGGGAAAAATGATGTCTTGTTGGAGTTTCATGTTGATGATACTGCTGGTGCTAATGAGGTATACAGAAATGAGATGTCTGGGATAATATGTATATGTAAGGGTACGTATGCTAAGCTGTGTTCCTGATTCAGTTTTATGTATTTACAGAAAGACTCATTGACGGAGATAAGTTTTCATATTCCTAACTCCAACACTCAGTTTGTTGGTGATGAAACTCGTCCGCCTGCTCAAGTATGTTGCTAAGCTTTTTTTTTAGTTATATGGGTGTGCTTGGAGTATTTTTCTGCTGATGCCGAGGGCATGTCTCAGGTTCTTCATGATAGAATCATGGCTGTGGCTGATGTTGGTGCTGGAGTTGAAGAGGCGGTCGTCACATTTGATGGCATCGCAATCCTCACACCCAGGTGAAGATTTTTCCTTCAACTTTTCTTGACGATTAGAGTATCGGTATAGCTGCATCATCTCATGACTACTTGATTTGTTTTTTTTTTCTTTAACAGGGGTCGGTACAGTGTGGAGCTTCACCATTCCTTCTTACGATTGCTTGGACAAGCTAATGACTTCAAAATCCAATACAGTAGTGTTGTCCGCTTGTTTTTGCTTCCAAAGGTATATTTTTTTCTTCTTTCTAATCTTATCTTAGAGGATTTTATTTATGTCAGCAGTCATCAGATCAGAGGAATTGTGTCGCTTAATCTTGTACTTACTAATGAAGCTCTTGTTATCTGTTTTCTGCATGAGCAGTCAAACCAGCCACACACGTTTGTTGTTATCTCTCTAGATCCACCAATCCGGAAAGGTCAGACAATGTATCCCCATATTGTGATGCAGGTAAGCTTTAGTGTTGTTTTTCTTTCCCTTCATATCAATATGTGTTTCTTACAAATGTTTTCCCTCACCTTCTCTAGTTTGAGACTGAATCCGTCGTCGAAAGCGAGCTGTCAATCAGTGATGATCTTTTGAATACAAAGTTCAAGGACAAGTTAGAGCGATCATATAAGGTCTCTCTTTCCTGACTGCGCTTATGTTATCATTGATTAATACAGAATAATTTCTACATACTGTGGTTACGAATGATATGGCTGTGAATCTTCAGGGTCTCACTCATGAAGTTTTCACCACGGTGTTGCGATGGCTGTCTGGTGCAAAGATCACAAAACCAGGGAAGTTCCGCAGTTCCCAAGATGGATTTGCAGTTAAATCATCTCTCAAGGCAGAAGATGGTGTTCTTTATCCACTCGAGAAGGGATTTTTCTTTTTACCTAAACCTCCTACGCTTATACTTCATGATGAGGTATTTTGTGGCTATTGATGATTGGGAATTTTCGTTAGTCCGTGAGATAGAGTTGGTTTGTTCAAACCGTTTGCTTTTTCGTTTTTAGATTGACAATGTGGAGTTTGAAAGGCATTCTGCTGGTGGTGCTAACATGCATTACTTCGATCTTTCCATAAGACTGAAAACTGATCATGAACATCTCTTCCGGAATATTCAGAGGAATGAGTATAATAATCTCTACTCCTTCATAAGGTTAGAACGGGGTATTTCAGTATCTACTGTTTTGAAGCTACACTGTGAGTGGATTGAATTGTTCTGAATAAAACATTATCTTCCCTTTACTGCAGCTCTAAGGGTTTGAAGATTACGAACCTTGGAGGTGTGGGTACCACAGACGGTGTGGCTGCTGTTCTTCAGGAGGATGATGATGCTGTTGACCCTCATCTTGAGCGTATCAGAAACCAAGCTGCTGATGAGAGTGACGAGGAGGCAAGTAACTTTTGTCTGACCGAGTCACTTCAATGTTCTGATGATTATATTTTTTGACATCAATACTTTTTAATTTATGAAGGATGAAGACTTTGTTGGGAATGAGGATGACGACGGTGGTTCACCAACTGATGATTCTGGCGAGGACGACTCTGATGGTAGTGACGATGGCGGAGAAGAGAAAGAGGTAGAGAACTGTTTCATGTAAATCAAACTCTTTCACCAGAGAAACCATATACTTTACATATCTCATCTTCATTGATTCGTTTATCAGAAATCTATCAAGAAGGAACCAAAGAAAGAGACGAAAAGCTTGCCCCCAAAGAAGAAAGCAGTAGCAACAGAAGAAGGAGGCAGTAGCAAGAAGAGGAAGGTGAAAAAGAAGAAGGATCCTAATGCACCAAAGAAGGCAATGTCTGGTTTCATGTACTTCTCCCAGATGGAAAGAGATGTGAGTTCTTCTCTCTCCTTTGTTCTACATTTTACTCTTGAGACATTTTACTATTCTTGTTGATCCCACAGACTTTGGCATATTCCTGAACCGTAGATCATTTTGTGGGGACCAATCACTAATATATATCATTTCACTGGTGAATTGAACAGAACATAAAGAAGAGTAACCCAGGAATAGGATTTGGAGACGTGGCGAAGGTGCTTGGAGATAAGTGGCGTCAGATGTCTGGTAAAATTCAAAATATTTCCTTTAAAACTAAAGTCATTGGTCTTAGCTTAGCCTACGATCTTTAATGTGTGTGTGTTTTTATGTGACCGTAGCCGAGGAAAAAGAGCCGTATGAAGCCAAGGCACAAGTGGACAAGAAGCGATACGAGGATCAGATTAGTGATTACAAGAACCCTCAACCAATGCTTGTAGACTCAGAGAACGAGTCCGACAGTAACTAAACTCTGATACCCCCAAAGACTCCCAAGCATCTGAGATTTTACATGTTATCTTGTCTGCTCTGCTTTTTTTTTTAAATGTAGTGATTCCTACAAGTTCTTTAGTATACAAATATTTGACATCGATCGTACTTTAGCTCTGGCTCAAATGCACAATGTCCCATGAGTTTTTGCTTTTTAGGACTAACTTTACCAACCACTTGTCTGCAAATCACACAGTTTATACTCGATGAATAATTAAAGTTCACATAATCACATGATGAGCAATACATAAGATTGAAGATGAAACTTATGGACAAGAAGAGGATATCCATAAGAGGATAGTGATATTAGCTGTTTGAACCGAGTTCGCTCTGTTCAATGAGTGATAGGACTCGTTGGTGGATTATTTCAAAAGGTGTTTTTTTTTATTATTTAGAGTTAAAGGTGTGTTTGTATTAATAAGAGAGTTCGGTTACAAATAGAGAAATGAGAGGCGAGGCGGAGTCTCACGGGGAGCTCGGCCGTGCCGTACAAGTCGGAAAAGAAATAAAGGAATAAAAACCCTAGTTCTAGCTGCCTTGTGAGTAAGAATGATTTCGGATCCCTTTCTCGTTAGTTCCTCCTTCCCTTTTATAACGGTTATTCCTTGATCTAGCGGACTCATCATGACTTCTGCGGGCTTTCGCCCAATGGGTCTCGGTAGACCCGCTAATTCAAGCGCTTGCTTAAACAACCTTAACTCGGTTAATTGGGAGAGACTAGCCGAGCTAAGCTCGATTTACTTTTGATTTTCGGAGAGCTCTTTTGTTGGATCTAAACTCGCTTAAGCTGAGCTCATTATTGTATGAACTTATTGAGGAAGTACATTCCACCACCTACATAGCTCATGTTATTTGATCATATCATGCATGCATGAGCATGACACGTGCTAATTATAACGATGTGTGCTTGTTGTATTGCTTGTAAGAATTGCGCGCCAGTACGGATTTGTTTTGTGTAGTAACAATGATACCGATTAAATAACGACGTAGTAATAAAGAAAAACATGCGATATTATATTGATTAAATACGAAACATCGATATTTTGTTAATGGTTCACAAATAGAGATAAATATCGCATGGCGTTTCCCTCCTTCATATTAAGTAAGAAAAAAACAATAATTATTTTTAAGATGAACTCATGACTCCCTCCTTTCACCTGTTGTTGTTAACTTGCGTCTCACTCAATCCAAGTGTTTGTTGCCAGCGCGGCTCAATGGCCTGAACTCACTTCCTCCTCCCACATGTGCCTTACCTGCTGCATCATACTGAACTTGTCCTCCAAACCCAAAAGATCCCCCAAAGATTCCTCCGGCATTACCTCCGGCACTACCTCCGACATTCACTTCGGTGGTAGCTCCCGCTTGGCCTCCGACCTTGGCTTCAGCATTTCCTCCAACCTTGGCTCCGGCTTGAGCTCCGGCAAGACCTCCGAACTTGCCTCTGCCTTTGCCTTTGCGACCTCCGACCTTGCCTCCGGCATGACCTCCGACTTTAACTTCGCCTTGAGCTCCGGCATTACCTCCAACCTTAGCTTCAGCATTACCTCCGAAGGCTCCTCCGATGGCTCCCATAAAGTTACCACCAAAGTTAACACCCTTCTTGATGAAATCATCGAGATAACCACCCGGTTTAACCGGGTTCCCAACCGGTTTCCCAGCGAATTTAGCACTACACTTAGTGATAACCTTCACGAAAACATTAATACAACCTTTCAACTTAATCACACACTTCTCAATCTTCAACCTATCAGCCTCGCTTATCTCAGCGTTAGCATTAAACTTATACTTAGCCGAGATCTCAGCAGTCATCTGCTCAAGCTCAACGAACCCATCAGCCATCGCGTTGTAGCTCTTCCTCACTTGAGCCGCAAGCTTACCTTCAACACCAACAGCTGCTTGAGCCGAGAACATGGCTTCGGTCATCAAAGCGTATTTGGCGTGGACAGAGGTAAAGATGGTCTTGACGGCTTTGCCTTTGGGGACAGCGAGGTAGTCGCTGAAGGCTTTGCAGATGGCGAAGAGTGTGTTGAACTGTGGTGTGTTTGGTGCGGATTTGATCTTCTTTTGGACGAGTTTTGAGATTTCGTGGGAGGGGAAGGTTTGGAGTTTGGATAGAGTGGGTGGACATAAGGTCTTTTTGGTTTTTTTGGGTGGGTGAGCTGAGACGGAGCCGATGGTTAGAACCACGGCTATAAATATCAACAGAGAGATCCTTGCCATGGTTGTTTATGATTGGCAAAGGTAAAAAAAAAAAGAAAAAAAATAAAACTAAAAAAGGGAATATGAAGGAAGTGCGAGTTTTGATTGAGGATTTTGAAGTGTATATATACATTTTTGCACTAAGACTAAAAATAGGTTAAGGAAGGTTACAAGAACAGAAGAAACCAACACAACACACAGAACAGAGAGATTCATGGTCGTTCACTTGAATTCTTCTCTGTCTAAACTATTTTGATGAATCACAATAAAAATATATATATATTTTGAGAAGAAGTAATTACTGGTTAATTTAGAGAACCACTGGTCCAGCTACTGTAAATAGAATATAAATACATGTATGGTTTTGATCATATCATTTTCTGTTTGCTTTTTTTTTTAGAACACAAATACTCCATCCGTTTCGATTTAATTGTCATTATAGGGAAAAAATTTCGTTTCATAATAAGTGTCGTTTTATAGTTTCCATGCAAAATTTATTAAAAAGATTCTCCAATTTATTTTTCTATTGGTTGAGATATAGTTAGCTGTATAGGTAATTGTGTTTTTTTTTTTTGGAAATATACAAAATCATATGTTTTATTAATCTGTGTGCATAAACCTAAGACGACAATTAAACAATTGTGTTCTTTAAACAATTACACAAAAGCAAATGCAAGTGTTATTTCTACTGATGACTTAAATCTTGCTATGAGATTCTTTTTAGATTTGAAACCTTTTTTTTTTTATGGAAAAAGGAAACTAAAATATTTTGAGGATTATTAAAGCACATCTAGAATTGTAAATTAATTATTCACAACACTGAATACAAGAAGCATTTTATTTGATATGTCTCTCAGTGTTATACAAAAGTCATTTGAATCAATTCTCGACAATGAACTCTTGAATCTCTATACCAGTGTGGCGTGCGCCACCCTGTAACCTAATCAAAACTTGATCCCCAAGCTTCAGCGAGGTCACAGGAACACCAGTTTTCCCAGATGAGTTTACTGCAAGAAGTAGTAAAACACATTCATCAGAAAACCATTTGATGTAAAACAAGTAGCAAACTACAATAAAGATCTACAAGACAAGAAACCTTGATGAGGAGAGACTAATGCAACAGTTTCCGCATTCTGTAGGATGATGCTAAACCCCGTTTCATCCTCTTCTCCACTAAGCTGCAAGAGACGAAGCAGCTTAAAAGTCTAAAGCACATAGAACTCACAGTTTATGAGAATGTACCTTAGCCTCCACGAGGATAAGAGGACGCTTCTCTATTTTAACTCTCCCAACAACTGCTGTCCGCTGTTTTCCTTTCTGATCAACAACTATTACCTCTCTCCCTGTCCTTAACTCAGAGAGGTAACACGTCTTTCCTCCTGGAACAGCGACATAAGCATGAACTGGTCCCTGTAATTCCAGATTTTTTTGAGTCAATACTATCTTCAAGACTACTTATGAGATGAAGGAGAGAAAAAACTCACAGCGTTAACTCTAAATGGTCTGCTTGCAATGTAATTAGACTCCAAGCATTCTGAGTGAACCAGGAACAGTCCTCTTGCAAAGGATCCAACCTTGTCACAACAAAAGAAGACGAAGACAGATTCATAGATAAATGCTTTTAAGGTTTAGTAACGTTGATGTTGGAGAAAGAGAGTATACAGGTGAACATACAAGAAGACCTTCACCGGGTCTCATGAGGCTGCAAAGATCAACACAGACTCTGTCTCCCATACCAACCATTTCAATCCGAGTTATAGTAGCTTCTGTCAAGCTTAATGTATCACTTTCTTCACTCCTTTTGTCAAAGTATTCCTAATAGAAGCAGAAACTATAAGAAGCCATGCTTTCAACAAAATAAAGAAGGTGACTATGCTTAATGAGATGATGATATACCTTTAGGTCAAGAACAGCTTTGACATCTTCTGTTTTAAGAATGATTCCGCCGAGACCATGTTCTAAAGCCTAAAAGCCAGGCATATGAACTCAACGGAAAACATAATGTCAGTCAACATCAGAAGGTAGAAGCTACCTCAAGGTATAGTTTTGCTTCTGAAGGTGTACTTGAAATGGCAAACACCGTTTTCTCACTTCCTTGGAGAGCCGCCACTAGATTTTCCGCTGGAATTGACTGCAAAACGAAACACTCTCTCTTATCCAAAAGGTATAACATTGTGTGTGTGTGTGTTCAAGATGAGAAAGTTACCTTCCAGTCTAAAAAACCAAGAACAATATTCTCTGTTTTCTCATTCTTAATCTTAAGCCTCTGCAGCTCCTCAGGCGTTGAAACCTCAAAAACCCCAGCTACAACTTTCCCTTTTCCATCAGTAACTTGCTTCTCATCAATAAACAACGCATCCACCAAAGCAACCGCTGCAAATATATCGAATCAAAACCGTGTAAAACCTCAAAAAGGAAGCTCTTTTGTTTCTTTGTTTGTGATTATGCAATGTTGTACATGACCAATCATCAGAGAGTTGAAGATTATCTGATGAGAAGATAAAAGTGTTCCACCCTCGTTCCACTGCAGTCGTCATCACTTGTTTGCACTCAGTCCATATCCAAACCTTCTTTGATCGGTGAAGATTCATAGGCAATGTGGATGCAGACATTCTCACATAAAATCTCTGAAGAAACGTTCTTTTGCTAAGTCTAATCGAGCTATGATGATTCTCTAATCTACAAAGTCCCAACCTTTCTGCATTATCAGCATAGCTCATAATGGAAGTCACAATGAAGAAAGTTTAAAGCTTTCAGATCATTACATTAAAAAAGATTCAATCTTTCTGCATTATCTACAAAACCCAGATGAAAGTAAAATAAATTCAAAGGCAAGGAGTAGCATCTGAAACTGTTCTGCAATAAACTCAAATCCATAAATTTAAAGAGAAAAGACTAACCTTTTCTTAGAGAGAAATAATGGAGTTGGGTTGGAGATTGGATGTAAGAAACAGAGGAGACCAAAGGCAAAGCCATTACCTACTCTTGTCTGTTCCGATCTTCTACTTCGCTTCCTCTGTGAGAGTTTGTGTTGGATCATTCCGGTTTGCCCCAGTCCAACCGGGTTTCTAAAAATTTAGTCTTGTTTCAGCCAAAACCGAATCCGGTTCGGTTCAGTTACCTATGTTATTTTCCAGCTTTCTTTTGAAAACAAATTCAAAAAAATCATTTTTTTTTACAGAGAGTGATGTAGAGAGTTTAGATAAAAGTTTATTTGCTATTTTTGAAGAAAATAAATTCTTGAAAAAAGGGCCCTAAAATTTTGGAAAAAGCTCCTAAATCCTAATTAAAATCATGTAATTTTTTTTGGACCTAGTGCAAATGCACTCTTGGCACATGCCAAGAGCCAGCACAGTTTCCTTGATGTTCTTATGTTGCATCACCATCTTGCAACAAGTTTAAGTCTCAATGTAGTTGCAACGCACGATATGCCTGTGAACTCCCCCTGGTACGGTTAAAGATATAGAGCTGCACATCTCTAATAGAGCTATTGGGGATCGTGTTAAAAGCTGGAAAACGATTTCTTATGGTATACATATAAACAGAAATTCGCATGAAGAATATTTTCTCTTGGGAAAGATTAAGAAAAAAAAAGAGAAAAGACTGAAAACAATTTAATTATGATATGCATATAAGTTATTATTTTTACTTTCTCACTATTCAATGTATATACATACTCACAATTCTTAACATTCATATTTGACAACATAATTTAAACGAAAAAACAAAATTATGCATGCAGTAAGCTAACGCATGTCAGTAACTCTCTAGTAATTAGCATACAAAAAACACTCTACAGCTCACTGCTGTAATTTAGCAGGGCCCCATTGCTTTATTTGAAACCATAGTATTAATATGTGTTTTTAGTTAAGATGAGCCGGTGCTTTTCTCCTCTGATGAATGCTTGAAGCTACTCTGGCCTGAGGAATGTGAGTGTGACTTTTGGTAGCTAGAAGTACCTTGAAAGCTAGATGTGCCCTTTTTTCCTTCGAAAGATTTATTCTCAGAGGTTCCGCTACCACTTTCGGTTGAACCCACAACTCCATTTTCCGAACTTCCTTTCGTTGTGGCGCTTTCAGTCATCGAACTCTCTCCTGCTGTTGCGGAGCCATCAGTTGTACTTCCACTGGGGCCACCGGCTGGTGATCCTCCAGCTTGGTAAGATGAGCTTGAGCTTCCACTGAGGGAGGAGGTCTCACTACCACTCGAAGCTGAACCTGAGGGGCTACTGGCGGGAGCTTCCATGCCGCTCCCACCAGTAGTATCCGAATAGGAACCTCCACTTTTCATTGAACTTTCTCCTTCGGCAGCGGTTTGAGTTGAACTTTCACTCGCACTGCCTGAAGTGCTTCCGCTTGGACCACCAGCACCAGCATTGCCTGAGGTTTCAGCACCAGCATCTCCTGAGGTTTCACCACCAGTGCCAACAGCGCTAGAGGTTTCACTACCAGCACTAGGACCATCCGCACCAGGGGTTTCACCACTAGGACCACCAGCACCAGCATCACCAGAGGTTTTACCACCAGCGCTAGAGGTTTCACTACCAGCAGTTTCACTCTCCGTGGAACTTTCTTCTGAGCCTGAACCTCCTGAGCTATCGGTTGGACTTCCACTCGGGCCACCGGCAGCACCACCGCTTTTACTTTCGGCATTAGTTTCACTTTGTGCTTCATTAGAGCTTGCACCACTAGCCTCCTTGGAACTTTCTCCTGATTCAGCTGAGCTTGCACCACTAGCCTCCTTGGAACTTTCTCCTGATTCAGCTGAGCTTGCACCACTAGCCTCCTTGGAACTTTCTCCTGATTCAGCTGAGCTTGCACCACTAGCCTCCTTGGAACTTTCTCCTGATTCAGCTGAGCTTGCACCACTAGCCGCTTTGGAACTTTCTTCTGATTCAGCTGAGCTTGCACCACTAGCCGCTTTGGAACTTTCTTCTGATTCAGCTGAGCTTGCACCACTAGCCTCCTTGGAACTCTCTCCTGATTCAGCTGAGCTTGCACCACCAGCCTCTTTGGAACTTTCTCCTGATTCAGCTGAGCTATCAGTTGGGCTCCCACTTGGGCCAGCAGCACCAGGAGTTTCACTATCACCCGTTCCACTACCAGCACCAGCTGTACTTCCAGCGTCAGTTGAGCTTTCAGCACCCGTGGAGCCTGCTTCTGATGAGCTCTCACTTGGGCTACCGCTTCCACCATCAGTAGGAGTTTCACTAGAGGGAGAACCACTTTCAGCGTTTGGAGTTTCACTATCACCACCAGAGGCAGGACTACCAGTTTCAGCTGAAGGAGAACCAGTGTCGGAGCCTGAACTTCCACTGCCACCAGTGCTTCCAGTTTCCATAGATGAAGAGCCGTTTTCGGTACTTTTCGAGTTTTCAGTTCCCATGGAGGAAGTAGCGCTGTCCGAGCTTCCAAGTCCAAGGTTTCCGCTTCCAAAGCCAAGGGATGAGAGATCAATATTAGTGTTACCACTCTTCTCACTTACATTTTTCACAAACTGACCGATCACTTGTGCCCATTTCGACATAGATGTGACCAGCTCTGTCCTTTGTTCACTTGTCAGTGTTGTTGAACCGCTCCTCTTGTACTCAGCCAAAGTTTTTCCCATTGACATCAAACTTTCAATCAATTTGCTTGTATGAGCCTAAAGGCCAAAAGAAAACCAAAAAAAAAAACCACAATAACCATATGTTCTAATAAACTCAAATGAGTTAACAAAACATAAACTCTTACCGATGATCCTGCGTTGCCACCCATTTTAGAGATAGACTTGAAGAGCTCCTCAGATTGTGTTTTCAATTGAGAATGGAACTCCGAAGACGACCCTGACGCTGTGTTTATGAAGGCCATATAAGCCTTCAGCTTAGTGAAGAACTCCTTGTACTCCCCTTTCATGGGACATAAACCTTCAAGGTTGTCTACATAACTAAGTATACCCTTGAAAGCGAAAGGTTCGAACTCGTTGGACATTTTAGGAATCTTCTTCAAGTAATGGTCTAGTAAGAAATGTCCTTGCGCTTCATATATGCTACTTGTTACTATCATAAACATTAGACATATTCCTAACGGAAATCTTGTCATTTTATTGTCAGGTGGAAAAAAAAAAAGAATTAGACTGATTTATTTCTTATATATATTTTTTTTTTAAATATCTTTTTTTTTTTTGCTTTTTAAAATGATTTTTTGTCTGAGATACCTCCATTTATATAAGATGCTTGAGAATTCTAAATTTGATTTAAGAGAAATTGGTGGATTATTTGAAGGCCACGAGAAAAATAGCACAAAAGGCTGATGGCTCTCATGTTCCATAACCGATTAGAACGGCAAATTGTGTTGCTCCTTTTAATTTCTACCATTCTATATTCAGAGAATAAATCACCACCATATATGTAAGACACACCATTAACGTCCATCCTTATAACAAAGCTTTATAGAAATATTAATATCTTCTCCTTCTGTATTGCATTTTTAACAACATGCAGTATATAGATTTGAATCTGATTGGTGATACAATAACAACATGTATAAAGAATAAACCTTCTAAAATATTTGAGAAAGCTAGCACTTTCTACTTTGGTCTTGTGTCCTCCAGAGAAGAATCTAAAAAATGATGTCTATATGTTTTTGCAATAAAACTGCATGTCTTCTAAAAATGAAAATTTCATTTTCATTATAATTCTAATTAACGAAAAGTAATAACCAAAGACAAGTAACTATGAACGATCGAGTCTAAAGATGTTAAAGTTGGAAGGTTTGGAAAGCCCCATTAGTTTCTTCGTCGGGGTTCCCATGAAAATATAATCATCCAGATTTATTTTTAACTCACGCTTAAAATTGAGGCTAAGTGAGTCGGATATTTTTAAGATTAATTGAGTGGTAATAGTAATACTGTGGAACAATTCTGATGAAGAATTCACTATTAACGGGTTGTAAAGTCAAAACGATACCTAGATAATATCAAGCTTGTTCCACAACAACTTTCCTCTCCTATCCATCAAACACCTTACAAACACATTTCTTATATTCACAAAGTAATTTGGAAGATCCATGATAGTCTCAGTTACAAAAAAAAAAAATTGGAAGATCCAATCCAAAGTGGCTTCACTAAGAGTTAACAATTAATTCGACTACTAAAAAAATTAACAAGCAAAGAAAATATCAACTAATAACCTAAACTCTTATAACTGGAATTGGTGTACTAATCATATCTCTCTAGTTCACTACTACGATGCTGTGTTAAGGAATACATCAACGGATTTCTCAGAAAGCCACCTTCCCTAGTTCACAATAGTGCCTTGCTACGCACAACGCTTTACACTTGAGAATAAACTTCTTCCACTTAACACACTTGGTACCATATCCAGTTCGTTGTCATAACGTCTTTTCGATAGATCTAACCTAATTGTGTATGCAATTTTAATTTAGTTTTTCTTTATTTGTGAGGAAAAACATAATCTTAGATGTTGTAGATTGAAATAAAAATATATTTAAAATTTGAACGATACAAATGAATTAATTAATCTCTTAAACCTTTTATTTGATATAGCTGAACATAAGCAATGTTAAAGGATGTTAAAACACACCCAACACACACGCTAACGTAGGCAGACATACGTTTACTAGTTAATGTTACAACTCACATGATTATATGTACACAAAAGGATTTTCCCTAAGCTCCTAGCAGTACCAGAAATTGGTAAATACTACTAATATAATGTGAAATGTGAAATGTGAAATGCAGAAAGGTGGAAATAAGAAATGGTTTTATATTATTTGTGAACATGCTTGATTTAAGAGTCTAGTTACATTATAATCTGATCCTTCTAAATATAGACTGAAGAGAAACGTGGATAAAAAAAATTGCCGTCAAAATCGAGCAGTAAAAAAATAAGAACCACATATGTGCTATTCTCTCGCGACCGGTCACCACTCCACAATTTTCTCTTATCGCCACTTAAATTTAGACCTCTCACCATACTATATAAACCACCTTCTCCCATAAACAAAAACAATTCAAAAAACAACAAAAACAAGAAATAACTAAAACAGAAAACGAAAAAAAAAAAAGCTTTTACTTTTGTTTGATTTCATTTCTTTCTTTCATATAAAAAAAAATGGCAAGGATTTCACTAGGGTTATGTCTGATGTTAGCAGTAGCATCAAGTGTGGTTTATGAAACGCAAGGACATTTCTTGTTAAAGAATTACTTGACTACTCAATTTCCAAGCAAGGGCAGCGAGTTTACGCCATATGTTAACAAGGGTTTAACAGAGCTCGCAACCGATCTTGAACGTGGTTGTCCACCAACTCCAGAGTTCAAAAGTTTCTTTACAGAGTTCAAGTCTTACATGAGCTCCATCGAAACCTCATCCTCCACGTCAACTAACATCGAGACGGAGATGGCTAAAAAAGGTGACGGGCTTTTCAAAGCTTGTTCTGCCATAACTGGTGGTGCTGGCGAAAAATCTGTAAGTCGCTATTGTAATATAATTTATATGGTTACTAACAAAGCAAAATTATTATTATTATTTTTGTTATTAAATGTTTCCTTAATTTGTGAATAGGCGGAAGCAGGGAGTTTTAAATCAACCATGATGTCTATGGCAAAGACATTGGTTGAGCAGAAAAAGAGTACATCGACCATAACATCTACTGAAAAGAAAACTCTAGTGACATCAATGGTGAAGTGGACTAAGACGATTGCAACAACGGTGAAGACAGCTTCAGAGAAGAAAGGAAAGAAGATTGATATTAACACATTTGGACTTGATGTTGATATCAATGACAAATCTATCATGACTGTCAGTGGAAGCAGCCAGAGTAGTTCTTCACACCATAAAACCAGTTCTGAATCCTCAACACAATCACAATCCTCAAACTTTAACGCTAGGGCAGAAAACGAATCTTCAGCAAAGGCAAAACTATCTGGCGGCAGTGTAAGCGCCACCGAGGAAGGCGGCGAGAAAGATGAGAAGAAGGAGAAGCCTGAGAAGGATGACAAGAAGGAGAAGGCTGCTGAGAAGAAGGAGCCTGCTGAGAAGAAGGAGAAGCCTGAGAAGAAGGAGAAGGATGAGAAGCCAGCTGAGAAGAAGAAGGAGAAGAAGGAGAAGGATTCTGCTGGTGCTAGCACTACTTTCTCAGACACAACAGGTGCACCAGTGGGAAGCCCAAAAGGAAGTCCCAGTTCTGGTAAGAGTAAAGCCTCAGGAAGCCCCAAAGCAAGTCCCAGTTCTTCTAAGGACAAAACCTCCGAGAAAGGAAGTGAAAAGGCTAGTTCCAAGAAGCAAGAAGCCAACGCTGCAAGTGCTTCTTCCATGAATCAAGAACAGTCAAAAACCGCTAGCTCAAGCTCAAAATCGACCACAACAGTGACAGAGATCGAGAAAGAGACTTCCCAAGAGACAATGTCATTCATTTCAGGACTTGAGAAGAAGTATTCACAAAAGGCAGAGCTCAAGCCTTTCTTCGAGAAGCTAAAGGCTTCCATGACTGCCTCCGCTAAGGTTGCTTCCACCAAATCAGCACAAGACTATTCTTCTACAGCTAAATCAACCACTGGTAAGCTAATTGATGCCATGACTTTCGTGGGTTCAAGATTTAGCAAATCAGCAGAGGTACGTAAGAAACACAACTTTGTGTTATATATATAAATGATTCTTTTTTCTTTTTTATCAAGAATTAAATACATTTGAATGTTTTTTTTTTAATTTGTAGATGAAGAGCAGCATCAAGACTACCCAAGAAAAACTGATGACGAGTCTTAAACAATTTCAAGATCTCAACAGCAAAATCGTGGGAGAAAAGAAAGTGTCAACGACACAAGAGACAGAGATCAAGCAGAAAATCTCAAAGATTGAACAAGTCACAACACAGTTTCTTGAGACTGCTGCTTCATCAAGCTCAACTCAAGCTTCATCTACATCTAAGGAGTCTCAGAAGTCTCAGAAGCAGAGCATGGCCTCATCTGAGAAACAGACCGCTGCTACATCTCAGCAGGAAAACGTTGATTCATCTCAGCAGCAGAACAGTATGGGTAAGCTCAAGAACAATTGAGAAGCTGTACGAGGAAGTAATCAGCAAGTAATGACAATCCAGTAATGCCAAATATTTTTTATTATAATAAGTACGTAGCTAAACTATCAGATTATTTTTTTGGTTGTATATAAAACTAAGATCGGTATAGGCCAGCAGTGTCTAGATAAAGACCGACGTATGCATGTAATAACTCTGTAAGACAATACAGATAGAATGTAACCGCTTTGTATGTTACATACAAAAGCGAGTGATACCTATAAAAGGGTTTTTTGAATAATCTTCTTCTTTTCTTCCAAACGAGTAAGGGATCTACCTGAAGTATTTCTTATCATCTATCAACTTCATTGTATGCATTTAAGAAAACATTGGAAGCTAAAGTAGATATTTAAACATAACACGAGTATTTGTTAAGTTTCATAAACTTTTAGTTCAAAACCACTGAAATTTGTACTATTATTTGCGAATTTTTTTTTTTTTTGCATTTGAGTTCTCACATTAAAAGTTAGAGTTGTTAAATACATTACTACCCTAATAATTAATTAACTAAATTTATTAAAAATAATTAATCATAAATTTTTTAAAAATAATTTGATAACTATCATTATCTAAAAATATTTTATATTATAAGTTGAAGTTGAGCCAAAAAATAAAAAGTTTATTTTATGTTAAGTCTTTATTAACTTTAATGAATAATTAAATTTGTCAATATATAATTAATCATAAATTGAAAACAAATTTCATTGATTTAATAATTAGCATTATATATAAATAGTTATATTGTGTTATCCAAAAATATATTTTACCTCATAAAATTTAAAAAAATTAAAAAGATATATAATATTATGTATACGTAAATATTTTCAAGTTTATTTATTCATTAACATATAACTAACTATAAACTAAAAGGAATTTTATTAATTTAATAATTATCATTTATATAAAGATATTTTATATTGTGTTATATAAAAAAAATATTTTACATCATAATTTTTTTGAAATAAAATTAAATATAAATCCATATATGTAATATGTATACATGAATATTTTAAGTTTATTATATATATATATATATATATATATATATTTTTTTTTTTTTTGCTATACTGAAAAATGTTGTCATATGAAAATAATTTTGTATTTAATTTATTACTATATATTTCAAACGCGCAAGTGCTTTCAATTTTAATTTATGTAATAAAAATTATTAATATTATGATGAAAAAATTGTATATATATATATATATTTGTTGTTTAATTTATAATTAAATATTTTGAACGATGAATAATACTTTATTCTAATAGTATTTATGTGTATAATAATTATTTCTAAAATTATTATACCCGCACGTGCGAGCAAAACACCTATTATCGTGTTAAATTTAATGAATTTCAAATTTAATATCAATTGGTAATTAGTGGATTGATCTAAATTTTTTGTATATTATTTATATCTCGTTGAAAATTTCTAAATAAAATATTATGTTTGTGCATACCTTTTAAGAAAATTAAAGATCATGATTCATTAATCTTTACGTAACCGTAATAGTATCCGAGTATGCTGCTTTCGTAAACCTCGCAAATAAAGTGAGCACTGAGGTTCCGAAGACGAGAATAATGGACCGTATTTGCATATTTTTCTTTTAAAGGATTGATTTACCTTATATTTTTTTAACTTCTTTGACAAAATAATAATGATAAAAATTTAATTATTAATTTAACCTTGAAATTCTTATACATATTTCATACGAATAAGAATCATGCGTCGCGAATATAATTTGATCAAGTATTCTAAAATCCTTTGGTTTATAAGAAAACAATATGAAATAAATCACTTTGGCTTTACACCATCTGAAAGTGTTGTCACCAATACTTAACTGCACTAAGTTACTTCTAGTGAGAAGATAAACTTCTTTCCAGAAATAGAATGAAAAGTAAAACACGGAGAGCAACATAAATTTCCGTCCAGATAGAATGCGAAACATATGAGAAAAGCTTGTGCTATTCTCTCGCAGCTTTCAATGGACCCACCTTTTTCTCTTAATCACATAAATTTAGACCACTGAAAGACCTTTTATAAACTGTTTCTTAGTTAATGTAAAAACTCCAAAACAAACAAAAACAAAAGAAAAAAAAATTAAAAAGAAAAACAAAACAAAAATGGCAAGAATTTCGTCGGCGGTATGTCTATTGTTACTATTAGCATTAAGTACGGTCTATGAAGTGCAAGGGACGTTTTTATTAAGGCACTTCTTGAGAAAAATTCCCAGAAGATCCAGGGGGATGAGGCCGTTCGCTTGCCAGGGTATGCTGAAGTTTGTGAACCTTTTGGAGATGAAGTGCCCATTGAAGCCTGCGTATAAGAACTTATTTGGAAATTTAAGGTCTTACGTGGGGGCTATACGTTCGGGGTCCAATGTTGACTTGAAAGGGAAAGCTGAGGGCGTCCAAACTGCTCTGTCTTCACTGGGTGGTACCACTGGAACGTCGGTAAAATATTAAAATTTGTTAAAAAACGCATGTCAAAATCTAGTAGTATTTTAAAATGTAATCAGGCGAGTTAGTATTAGAAAATGTGTCGTGGTTTGGTAAAATTTTGATTTTCGGTTTAATTGGTGATCAGGTGGATAAAAGCAAGGTTATGGATGTGTTAATGACAATGGGAAAGACTTTGACTTCGCAAACGGGTAGCAGTTCAACGCAAGTGACAAGTGAACAGAGAAAACAGGTGCTCACGTCTCTTGTGCAATTTGCACGAGTGATTAGTCAAGTTGTTATCAGTTCCGCATCAAAGAGTGGAAGCTCTATTGATATGAAATCCCTAGGAATTGATGGCATTGATGACAATGTGGCCACAGGAAGTTCAACTTCTACTTCAACTACTGGAAGCTCTAACACACAAACTGGAATGACTGGCACGGACACAGGCGCTGTCCCTGTCCCTGGCACTGGCACTGTTCCTGGCACGGGCGCTGTCCCTGGCACGGGCACTGTCCCTGGTACTGACCCTGGCACTGTCCCTGGAATGACTGGTGTGCCTGCTTCTACAACGGAAGGGGGAGGCCTTTTTGGTAACTCCTTTTCAGATAAAACAGGTACAAGCACTGGCACGGGCGCTGTCCCTGTCCCTGGCACAGGCACTGACCCTGGCACTGGCACTTTCCCTGGAATTGGAATGGCTGGTGGGCCTGTTTCTTCAACGGAAGGAGGAAGCTCTTTTGGTAAAACCTTTTCAGGTAAAACAGGGTCAACTAATTATGAAGGATCTATCAACCAACAAACAGGTCATAAGTCTTCCCAACAAACTACCACAAGCAACTCGGGATCCCCAGGCGGCACGGTATCGCCAGGGAGCTTCTAGAAGGATTGATTCAGCTCCAAATACTAGAAAAACCGACCTTAGAATATATATAGAGAATTTATTATTATTGTTTGCTTAAATAAGAAACCTGCTAACATATCACAGCAGCGGGTTGTAGAATTTCTGGCTCTTTTACGCCTACCTTAAATAATACGAGAGGAAGTTTTTTTTATTGTTAACATTTTTCTAGAATATCGCCGTTTAAATTCACGTTTTTCAGTACATATGCATCTCTTTAATTTTTTAGTTTACAAAATTAAATTTCAAATCTGGACATTAACCCAAAGATCAATGAACTCCCACGCGGACAGCCTAGCAAGACGAGCCAGGGTGCAACCGCATTTTATTGTTCACATGGATACCGAGCTACCTGTTTGGTTTACAGAGTCTATATGAGTCTGTAATTTTGATGTCAAAAAAAAAAAAAAAAAAAAAAAAAAAAAAACCCAAGAGTAAAAGACTTGTTTCCA